AAGAAAGAAGCCCGGATATGGGCTCCTATGACCATGCTCAGAAAACCTCCACTCAAAAAAAAAGGGCTGATTTTGGCATGCACGGGCCCTGTGCCGGTGAACCCCGGGCGACTTGCCCGGGTTGCACGGCCTTGCTGCATGGCTGGGCAAGTAGGTGTATGATACGAAATGGATAAATCAATCCAAGACTTCAGTCATCACATGTAGTCATGCAATTGCACGCAAAACATGTAACAAGTAACAACAAGCAAACGCCCAGTGGATGATTGAACAAATATTTTATCCCGAAAAAGTGGCTCCCCTTCATATTATATCAGTCGGCAGAGCACAAAAGCGGCATTCAGGATGTCCTGGGTTTGATTCCCTCGTCTTCCATTCGAACCCCCACGACCTCCTGCTGCGCTGTTCGGGTTCACCAGCTGAGATAGCCGGCTTGCCCCCCTGGTTGGTCTTGGTGTCCTTTAATCCCTTCAAATCCCTCACCCGGTGTTAGGCCCGGCCCTAGTGGAATATTCAGAGATCTGGACGAGTTCTCCTTGCCGATATAGATAGGTAGGTAGGTAGTGAGACTGTGAGACGTATAATGGAGAGATGAATTGGAAAGAAATAAAAATAAAATAAGAAGGCCAACAGCCTCAAGAAGTTATCTCCAACTGACCGCCCCCCTAGGTAATTCAGAATTGTAGCATTTCACTCATCTGCTTCCCGTGGAGTTCGAGCCCGGGTCTGTATCTCAACAACCTCAGGGGTGTACCAACTGAGCCAGGCCAGTTTTTGTGCAGCATAGTTGCAGCGCATTGAGGTGCGCGCCTCAGCGCACGTCTGGCGCACCACGTGCAACGCACCCGATGCGACGCAAAAAAAAAAAGGAAAAAAAAAAGAAGAAAAAAAAAAAGAGGTCCGCCAAAAAAGGAAAAAAAAAAAAAAACCTTTTTCTTTCATGAGGCAGTATCGAAAATGTACAACTTGGCCGGTGGGAGCGGAGCGGTAGCGCCGGGCGGAGTAGCGTAGCGCTCCGGCGTTCTCCGTCGTTGCTCGCGAATAGCGCTAGCAGCGCTGTCCTACCGCCAATTCCGCCGACAAGACGGAACACGGAAGGTGCCTTGCACACTCTCACATCAGGGGATGGGGCATTGCCCAAATGCACAGGTAACCGCATGGATAGTCCATAGCTAGAGGGCTCGCCCGGAAAAGAAGGAAGACATGGTAACTCAGTGTTGGTCAGTTTACCTCTGGAGTGCAGTTGTAGGTAATCAGGCAGACCTAAAAAAGTCTGTCATTATCCGAGTGTTTGCCAAATAGGTCAGGAATGAGTCGTCCGGTTGTCAGTAGAGGTATGGTAACTCAGCGGTAACTCAGTGATGCTGAGTAACCTCCAGCATGCCGGTGTAGGTAACTAATCGGACTTTCATCAAGGAAGCTTTGCACCGGGAGTTGGTCCGAATAGGACAGGAAGGTGCCGGGCTGGCAGTTGGTTGAGCTCGGTAACTCAGGATCGCTTCACATCCTACAGCAGGGTGCTCTAGTTCGCTCTCCCGACAAGACAACGAGAGGGGTTCTTTCAAAGTTTTTACTTCTGGGAAGTTGGGAGAGGGTCCTCGAGTAAAGTAGTGAAGCAATTGGGAGAGGATATGTCGGTAAAAAGAAGAGCATGGTAACTCAGCACTGGTCAGTTTACCTCCGGAGTGCTGATGGTGATCAGTAGGTGTTTACCAACAAGGCTGTCAAGTACCGAGTGCTCGTCGAGATAGGTCAGAAATGAGCCTGCCGGCAGCCGGAAGAGAAAGGGTATTCTCAGCGGTACCTCGGCATTGATAAGGGACCTCCGGAATGCTGTTGTAGATAATTAGTCGGCCTTTTGAACAAGGGAGTGCTACACTGTGAGTTGGTCCGGTCAGGCCAGGAAGGTGCCGTCCGGCAGTCTGGAAGAGCTCGGGAAATCAGGCACGCTACGCATCCGATAGCAGTTTTGTTCTTGTTCGCACTCTCGATAAGGCAACGAGGAGGGAATCTCTAAGAATTCCCTTGCACCTGGGCTGTCATCCGGGTAGGATGGAGAGTGACCTCGCGCGAATTAGGGAATCGATTGGGAAATGCTACGACGACGGTGTGTGCCCAGATGACGATAACTTAGGGCAAGTGGTGGAAGATGAATCAGGCAGGAGGTTTGTGGTGAACGGCATAGTAAACGAAGTAAAAGAGCAGTGGTTGAGGGAGAGAACAGTCGTAGTAATTTTCCAAGGGGAAGCGCGAAACCTGGCCCGTTCAGTGAAAGAGGATCTGATCCGGGCTTTCGAAGACGGATGGACACGGAAACGTCTGTTTCAACCAGCAGAGAGGCGAGGCAGAGTAAAGTTTGAGGGAATGAACGTGGCCTGGTACGTAGCTAAGGCCAAAGAGATAGCTGATTGGATAATTCAGCAAAAAGAGTTAACTATCACACTAGAAAAGAAAGATTACACGGTGTCCTTCAATCCACGCCTGTCTAAACGCGAAATGTATGACGCAAGGATTCTGGAGGAACAAAATTTTGGATAATGGCCCTGCGGGTACCTCTAGACGCGTACTATTTCCTAAAGATCGTTGTAAAAGGCATGATCGGGGAAATAATAGAGATGCACAGCCCTGAGTATGATAGGGACCGTCCGAAACTCATGAACGTGAAGATAGACATGCCGCCAGAGGCTCGCCACAAAATTGAGGATGAACTGACTATTCAGTCCCCCAAGGGGGAACGATGGACAGTGGAGATAGTGTCACCCTACACGGACTGGTGTCGCAGGTGTAGGTGGTACTACCACACTGAGGAGAATTGCCCTCGGGCCAAGCAGACCGAGGCCGGGCGAAGGGTGAACGGTGAAAGGACGGGCGGACATCGTGCGAGATTCAGGGAACTTGTACGTGACCAAGAGCAGAACGGAGGAGGGCAAGCATCCCAGGAAGTGGCTGCACGCCAGGCCACAAACGCCCAGCCTCAGGAACCAACGGCAACAGCAGCAAACATTCAAGGGACAAGGCACTCAGCTCATCAGGATGGTCGTACACACCCAGTACAAGGTGCAGCGGTTCCAGACCTTCAGCAGCGAGCCAGGAGCGGCCCTGCTCCTCCAGAGTCACAAGCAGGCGAAATTCTGTCACGCTGGGGCAGAGGTGGTGAAGTTCAACCCACAGGCTCAGCATACAACGGAAACCGGCAGTTAACAAGAGATAACGTCACCTTGGTTCCAGGCCCCAACGGCCAACGCACACAGTATATGGAATACCAGCACAGTCCCCGGAGGTGGGGTGACGAACAGGCCATGGGCCACGGTCCCCCCCTGTTGCAACCCTGGGTTCCACGGTATGAAGAACAAAATGGTGGAGTCGAAATGAGTCATTATGGAGGGGTGCAGTGGAACCACGGTCCCCAGTATCAGACGTCGGGACAGGACCAGATCTGGTTCGAGCAACAGGCCCAGATCTAGTACGCTGGTGGAGTAGGGTACAGATACGCGCAAGATGGTGGCTTTAGGCAGTTGGGAGGCGTGGAAATCCCAAAACTTGGATATCCCTCAGAGACTTATGATTGGCGCCACCAGGCACCGCAGACAACAGGGAGGGATTTGGACTCAGAAATCTTCGCAAGGTGGGAAGAAAGGGGAGCACGCTCCAGCAGGCGCCAGAGTAGTAGTGAAAGGTGGGGCACATGGAGGGATGGTCACAGGCGGAACAGGGGGGAAGAAGCCCAGTCATGGAGACATAACTCAGGAAACCCAAACTTTCCCCCAAGCATAAGAGAGGAGGAAGCAACCGGTGGGGAACTGGAGAGGGCACACCCACAAGCCGGCCCTGCTCAGGGCGAGCTATCTAAGACCTCGGAGACCTCACAGTCGAGGGTACGGTGGGGGAGCGAATGCTGTGAAGAACAAGGGAACAGGGAGGCGTCATCGGAGTCATCCTCTATGGAAAGCTCGGCGGCCTCCAAGCAAAAGCAAGGACCGGAGAGAAGGAAAGCCATGGAGAACAGTCGAAGAGCGGATACAATTGACAGGAATCACATGGAAACAGTCCAGCGCTGCCTAGTGCCGCTAGTCTGCACGAAGGATGGAGATAGCGCATTGTTCCTCTCACTGATCAATGAAGAAGGCGCGCCGTCACTCCCCTCGGCCACGGTGAATTGCTCTCCTACGCCGGTTACAATCATGGAAGTAACCAGACAACTCTACGGTGCCCACGTTCCGGTCCGGCTGATCCCGCACTCAACAATGGCGAATGTTCTGTGCGAAACAGTGCAGGGATACGTGAAGATGTACTTCCCCTTGCTTGATGCCAGAATCCCTCTGGAAGTAGCCGACACGCTGACGAGATCAGGGGTTCGTTGCTTCCGGATGGACTTGGTTAGAGAGAGGAATTTACAGGAGTTGGAATGCATCAAGGTTCTCCCAGGCATCTCAGCAAACGTGCTGCTAAACGTGA